TTGTGTGGTGCAGGGGATAAAACCCAGGTCATTGTGCATTCTAAGCAAATTCTCCACCACTGAGTTACACTCCAGTCCCCCTTTTATGAATCTTTATATATTTTTACATATCTGACATATTTTACATTAAAATATATGAAGGAAAAATCATGAAACAGAACAAAGTGTTCAGAAATACTAATTAAGTAATTAATATTAATGTAATGGACTTTGAATTTATTGAAAAAGTGGTCATACTGTATATCTGGAAAATGATAAAAAAAAATAAAGAGCAAGATGTTCCTTCTATTTCCCCAGTAATTCTTAATACAACTAATCATTAAATCATCATTTCGATGGTTGAAAAAATAGGGAAATTAAACTTTAATTAAGTGTTTCATAGCATTTATTGCTTTATAGTGCATAATAGTTCTGGACATTAGTTTATAAGTGAAAATTTAACAGAACGAGTCATTAGTATGTAGAAATGCAAATTAATGGAACTTTTATCAAATCAATAATATTGAAATCCATGTACCTTTGTTATGGAGAGCAATATATTACTTATAATTAAAAACAATGTTCAGTTGCACAATTATCAAACAAATGAGGCTTGTTTATTATTAATTTGTTAAGGATTAGAAAAATATATGTGTATATATATATGTGTGTGTGTATATACATATGTATATATATATATATATACATATGTATATACACACACACACAGAGTGAGAGAGCTGGTTAAACATTTATTGCATGGATCTTAGTAACTTCTGAGCAGTTTCTTTGTTGTAATAAGCTTATACAAAAAAAGAAACATTGTAAAACCTTACTGAAATATTGCTTATCACTTTTTATCAGGCAACTACAGGAAAACATGCAGTTTTTCTTTGTTAAAGAAAGATTATGATTATTCATGCTTATGTCAATCTGTTTTATGACTGGAAGCTTCAATATGAAGAGTTCATCTAAATTGTCCTCCTGGTACAATTTATTCATCCCAATGAAACAGGAGCTGTTGGATATTGCCTTATACCAGCATTTAATCCCACTTGTTATTTCTATTCAGTAGAACATCTGTTTTGTCCAAACTAAAATAGAATATTATTTATTTGGGAGGAAACACTGTTTTATTAGATCTTACTAATGTAACATTCTCTTGTTCTTTTCTATTGTGAAATATCAAGTTCATCTTTCTGCAGATGTTCCTCTGGCTGTGTCTCTTTCTATGGATTCCACAGTTTGAATGGTGTAAGGGACACACAGGGCTTTCTATTTCAAGGTACCTGGGTGCCTGTGCCCATAGCATGTGATAGGAAGTGGGTAGTACTACAGGCACAGGGAGTGGGTATCTGTAGCTCATCCCCTACTTGCTCACTTCCTTTCTGGCCATTCTGTAAGCCCCAACTGGGAATATTGGGAAGGAGCTAGACGCCAGGACCATCGGGTGAGAGTAATAGAATACCAGGTATCTTCCTACCATATGTCTATTTTGACTCCATTTGTCAATGGCTTATACCAGCTTTGGAGAAAGAACTGAGAGAGAAATCTCATCCAAGGTTAGGATTTGCCCATTGTAGGATCTGTTTTTATGGCTGATTTCCCGGTACTCATCCCTTTCTATCGGATCAACCTATGTCTGTACTTATAAATTACAACATCTTGGTAAGGGGTTAAAAAGGACCTTGTTAACTCAACGCTGCCATAGAGAATGGCGAGTCTGTGACAGGCTCAGGCAAAAGTTCAAGACCCTATGTGGAAAACAAACTTAAAAAGAACAAAGGGCTATGGATGTGGGTCTAGTGGAAAAGCCTCTGCCTAGGGCTGGCAAGTACTAGACCTTGACTTCAATCCCAAGTACGACGAAGTAAGTCAAGGTAATGCAAACAAGTGCGGATTTTCCCACTTGTTAATTTACTGTAGAGTATATCATGTGACTGCCCTTACAGAAAATCCGTGCTATGCTTTGGCCAATGCTATAAACAGCTGAGCTTTGCTGGCACTGAATCACTGGATAGGATGAGAGAAGGAGGGAAGGGACTGAGATTCCCCAGGGGTGCCAATGTGAACTTTCTTCCCGATATCTGTGCAACAGTCAAGAGCTATCCAGGGGTGGAGTTTTCTTTGATTAGGAATAGTCATGACTCCACTTTGTAACTAGAATATTTTGAACATGACTTGCAAAATCTGATTATTTTCCAGAGCGTTCACGTTCAAGGATGCACATGGGAAGGAGAAATCCAGCCCTTCTTGTCACATCGCACACGCACCAGGTCCGTACTGTCAGCTAATTAGGGGCCTGCCTTCATTAAGATGATGGAGTCATCAGGCAGAAAGGCACAGCTGAGTCACTGGAGATCTGAACGTGTAATGGGACTTGATTACTATTATGGTGCAAATTAGAGTAAATCTAATTGGGGCTAAGTCACGGACGAATCTGGAAAGTGCCTTTCCTTTCTTACAGGCTGCAGCAACTTCAGATCCACTACATAGGGTATATAATGCACCTTTACACAATGCTTTCTAAACCCAGTTGTGTTGTTTTTGTGTGCTATTCAATACACGTAACACAGGAGCAAAACACCATGTTTAGCAATATTTTGGTTAAAGAAAATAAATTAGAGTAGTTTGTCCAGTGTCATCTAGCTGAAGAGTGGCGGGAGGGGGAGGTGAAATTAGACTTGTGTGGAAGGAAGTACAGACTCAGGAATACAAGTTTTCACAGAAGCCCACAGCCTTTATTTTCAAAATCCAAACATTTCTAAAAAGTCTGGAAGAATCTGATCTAGCCTAAGATCTACCTATTGTCTTTATCTTTTGTCTGAAAGTTGTATCTTGCCACACAAATCCTCCTTGTGATTTTGAAGACCTTCCCACAGCATGTGCTGAACTAGACGGGAAGGAATGTTGGCCGTGAGAATGAGGACCTCAGTTTACAGTGGTCATCTGTTCTTTTGATTTGGCAGTGAGGGGACAGGCTTCACCAGAAGGAGGTGGGATTTATATCCTGGCTTTTATCCTTGGTTGTCATACCTCCAATCCTGGAAGGAAGAGCCTGCTTCCAGGCCAAAATCCTTTGTGTGATCCTTCAATATGGCCCACAGGCAATGAGAGGCTTTGAGTGGCTGCCATCAATATGGTGGCCAGCCTGCAGGCTCCTCCTTAGTTTTATGGAGTGATCTGAGGTAAGACACTGAGGCTCCATCCCACCTGGCCTGCCATGGTCCTAGGCCACGTACCTCCATTAAGAAGCCTTCTTGCTGGGATCCAACTGAAGCCTTCTGTTCTGCTTGGCTCAGTACCACTTATGCCATTCCCTTCACTCTTTCACCTCCACCTCTACCACCACCACCACCACCACCACCACCACCACCACCACCACCACCACCACCACCACCACCACCACCACTACCCCTAGACATACAAGGGCAAAAAGGTTTTGTTGAGGACTTCCCAGCATGGAATGGAACGACTCTACCCTTGACCACTGCAGGGATCCACCAGCCCTTTGCTTCATGCTGTTTCACGGGAAACATGGGGACTCTGTCTACTTTGGCAGCTGGCCCAGTGCGGTGACTGAACAAAAGCTTGAGTGTGACTTCCACTGGTTTCTTGTCCTCATGATTTCATTACCTCAATAACTGGCAACATAACACCTGAGGAAGGTCAACCCTGGCCCCAGGCTGATGCTCTGGGTATGGCCTTCTTGCCCCTCCACACGAATCCTTGCTGCTGTCCTCCTTAGGGTACATCACTTCACTCTTTCCTCACTTTCCCATTACAGCTAAAGGTGATTGCAGTTTCTTCCAGCCGAAGTCCCTCTGCCCAGGGTCCTCCTGTCAACCATGGACTGACTGTTCTTGCTCCTTTATAATAACTGTGGACTTTTTGTACATGCTGCCCAAGATATGGGACACTTCCAGGTTTCACTGAGCTACACCTATGATGATAATAATCCAACAAACCTTCCTGGCCTTATTCCTCCTGGCTGCAGGCCTTTTCTGGGCACCTTGTGCCTGCTTTCATCAAAACCAGGAGGGCCTCATATTAATTCACTGGTCACCCCTTCAATGTAGAATTTCTTGAGGTCTGGGAACGTAGTGACACTTTTCACCTTGAGATCACCTAAACTTCTGAGAAGCACCCAGCGATAGAGATGTGTGAATGAAAAATTTGCATTGTGAAAGCAAGAATTACAGTAACACTGGTATGGAAAACACAATTTAGCACAGAATTAAAAGAGAAAGATTTAGGAGTGCAGTAAAAATACCCACCATTTGACCTCAAAGTTTAACTTCCAAAACTATATTTTATCCTGTTTTTTACTCCAAGATGATTCTTTCCAGAAATAGGCCTGACTATTTTAATTTGTGGTGAAAATAGATACATTCATTGTCTTAGTCATTATACTTCTAAGTGTCTAAGTTTATAAGGAGTTGAATTTCAGAATCCGTCTGGTGAGGGGCTCAATCTTCCACATGAGTTCTGTTTATGACGTGATTGATTTTAACTTCCTTTTTAGTCCAAGTGAATTCTAATGAGAATGCAGAGGATAAATAAGATGACCTTTTAAAAACATTTCAAATTTGAAGACCAGACATTTTCTTATATTGACAAATCCAAATTTTCCTTTTAGATTATGCCTGAAATAAAGTATCTGAGTTTAGAAAAAAATTCCTCTCACAAATGCAAAAATGACCATTTTGCTTTAAAATCCTGTTATATTGCAATTTATAGGTGTGACGAACAATAGTTCCCACTTTTACTTATTTAACATTTTGGCATCTGACTATATTATTTCCTGGAATTTTAGAATGGATATATACTATGACCATATTGAAAACATACTCTGACACCTACACTCCGCTGAAGAGACCATTCTAAACATTAAAAAATAATTATCTCAAGTTATTAGAAATGCAACAAGGCTTTTGAACCATGGCGAAGTGAAATCACTTTTATGAAAATCATTACTATGAATAGAAGATAATGACTTTAACTGAGATTTTAATTCTTACCCTTGGAAAAGTCGTAAATCTGTCCAGTTCTTCAACAAAGCAGAACATCTGTAAGCTAATGGCTGACATGACAATCAGGAGGCTGGCAGTGAAAACAACCAAACTCCCAAGCTTCTTTCCAGGGCCAAATATCTTGTATACAAAGTCTTCCAATGCAGGTGAAATCTTAATAAGTCGAACCACTCGAAGTACCTATGAAGAGAGATTAAAAAAATATCGCTTTAATCATTTGTTCACAGTTTTAATGGAATCCATACTAAAACATCATTTTCTTCATAAAACATCATTTTACCTCATAAATACCATATCTTTCCACATGAACCGTACCTGAAATATTCATCTAGCTCAGAACACACCACAGGATAAGTCCCACAGGAAGGAAGACAAATTGTAATTAATGAAGTGTTTTAACATGTCACGTTATAATAATTCAAAATAGGTTATGAACTGTAATATGTGCTAGTTCTCTAATGCGTGAAAATCTAAGAAAACCTTTAATTCAGTGTAAGTTATAGTTAATGTTTCATAAAATTGACCTCTCTAGGTATTTCACATTCATAGAGACATGGGAGAAAAATCAATCTTTTATCAAGGAATTTTGATTTCTGGCTCAGATTCCTATCCCAATGTCCATTTTTTCTCCTACTTCCTTGAAAATAACAGAAATTCCTGGAAAATTTCCTTAGCAATTGGCTCTTGGGCACTGAACCCACTTTCCAGCCTTGGTACTTTCTCTTGGCAACTGGACTCATCTTGTGAACTAGGCTCAGGCTTATGGGATGTAGAAATTCATCACTAGCATAATTTTATAGTTAAATATGATAGGTACTATAGCAATTTTTAAATCCTGAATATATTTTATACTGTATCTTTGGTAACACTGGCAATAATATTTTTCTTAATTTTTCTAATTTAACAGATTTATACTAACAACATTTTTTAAGTCTAGATAGAAGCATTTAAGAGCAGGTAGTGACATGCATATTTGATGTGTTAGTTTTTCCATGCTGTGACAAAATATCAAAGATAACTTAAAGGAAGGAGGATTGATTTTGGCTCTCGGTTTCACAAGTGTTAGTCCATTAGGTGAGGAGGATATGGCAGAGTAGAGCAGTTTACCTCATGGCTGCCAGGAAGTAGAGGAGAGAAGCGCAAGGAGAGAGGAAATGAGAGAGAGGAGAAGAGAGAGAGACACACAGAGAGATAGATGCAGTGAGAGAGAACAGAGCAGGGGAGAGAAGAGCTGGCTTTTTCCTTTTCCTCTTAGATTCTGTCCTCTCCCTTCAGCCTATGGGATGGTACTGCCCGCACTATATTTGATTCTTCTTCCTTTAGTAAGATGTCACTGGAAATGCCTGAGACACACCCAGAGGTGTATTTTACTAATCTCCCAGGTGCTTCTCAAGCCAAAAACATTGATGCTCAAGATAAAAACACTAACGAACATTTTTAATGTGCATTTAACCATATTATGCATTTGAAAATATATATAGAAAAACTCACATTGTGACAGATTAGAGATAACATAAAAATGACAAAATATGAGATAGAAAAATGCTTCTATTTCATATGTTTATACTAGGATACCATACTTGCGTACTTTATCTTTTTACTTAGAATTTAATAGAGCAAAAAGCATATTGCTTCCACTTAACAATTACAATGACTATAACTAATAATTATAGTCATTGAATAATTGTTAAGAAATGAGATTCAATATATCCCATCAAATATTAGAGATGCAATTATAATACCAAATTACATAATAACAAATTATAATACCTTTATATTTAATCATTACAAATAAAAGAAATAGACATTTATAAATAATGTGTGGCTAAGCAAATCATGTAAAGGTGGATTTTACATATATAAATTCTTATTATTCCTATTATAAACCATTGTTAAGCCAGGATATTGACAAAGCCAGGATATTTACTTGGAATTTATTTCATATATACTTCTTTAAACTTTGTGCCAACAACTTTCCATTATGTAAAATTTGCTAGTCAAGTACAGATATATTATGTCCATATATTATTACATACAACTAATTTTGGAGGAACAGTGTCTTATTATCAATTTTCAGAAATGTTTTGTCTGTTTTTAGGTGTCGGGCTGGGCTTTAACTCAGAGCCTTAGGCTATTGCTTGGCTTTTTCACTCAAGTCTGATGTTCTACTACTTAAGACATATCTCAAATTCTGGCTTTTTTTTTTTTTGGTTGTGAGGTCTGAACTCTGGGCCTGGACACTGTCCCTCAGCTCTTCAGCTCAAGGCTAGCACTCTGCCACTTGAACCACAGCACCACTTCCGGCTTTTTCTGCTTATGTGGTACTGAGTAATCGAACCCAGGGCCTCATGCATACAAGGCAAGAACTCTACCACTTAGCCACCTTCCCAGCCCAAATTCTGGCTTTTTGCTAGTAATTAGAGATAAGAGTCTACCAGATTTGTTTGTCTTGCGGCTTCAAACTGTGATTCTCAGCTCTTAACCTCCTAAGTAGCTGGAATTATAGCTGTGAGCCTCTTATGCTCAAAATAAATTTTTTAAAAATAGTTATTTTGATTTATAAATGCATTGTTTCTGATATTAAATACATCACTGGGCTTCTGCCAATGACATATATCTGTAGTATATGAGTACATATTATTGTTAAAATAATATGGACTTCTATTTACCCTGGAAAGAAACAAAGATCAATAGGTAGTATTTTTATTACCTGGAAGTATGTGAACTGAGAATGATAAAGATCTGGATACACATGAAGAGTAGTTCCAATGACCAGGAGCAGCTCAAATTTGTGAAGAGATGAGCTAATATATCCAGTGAATCCCAGACACCATATCTTCAGCAGTGCCTCCAAATCAAAAAGTACAGTAAAAGCCACCTAGAGGAACAAAGATACATCAAAATCCACATCCCTAATTAGTTCATATATTAGGCAGTGCATGAATTTCAGCCATAATTACATGTACAGAGGACTCCATAAATAAAAAATGACATTTTATTTTAAAAGATACATTTGGAACATACTGCCTAGAGCAAAGTTATCTTAGAGAGTTAGGAAAAATGTCAGATTTTGAATTTCATGAGTGGTATTATTTCTTTATTATTTACCATTTGTTAATTTTTTTGTGAGTTGTGGGGCTTGAACTCAGGACCAAGGTTCTATTCTGAGCTTCTTTGTGCTCAAGGCTAGTGCTCTACTCCTTGAGCCACAGCACCACTTCTTGTTTTTTGAGTGGTTAATCATAGATAAGAATCCCATGAGAACTTTACTGCCTGGGCTGGCTTTGAACTGCGATCCTCAGATCTCAGCCTCCTGAGTAGATAGGATTACACAGGTGAGCCACTGGTACCTGGCTACAATTTGGTAATATTTAAAAAAGAATTCAATTTATTGAACTTCTATAGATACATAGATGCTTGGAGAACTATTTTTAAAGTGTAACTATTGTAAGCATTACAACTTGTTTTTACTAAATTTCTCTTGGGTGGGGTGATGGATCAAGATGCCCTGTGTACATAAAGGAACACATTCAAATGAAATCCTTTTGTAAAACCATGTGAAGGCTATATTGTGTTCTACATGCTATAAAATGACATATATTACTGCCATAATTGAACCAAGTAAAACAGAATATCATCCATCTCCTTGAGTACAATGACAAGTTGAGAAATGGGAATTCAATACCAAGAAATTTATGTGGGCTTGCATGCATAAATAACTTAAAATGTTACTGTTATTAATTAATGAATATATAGTTGATATCACTATGTGTACATTTAACCTTTAATTTCTCATAAAAATTCTATGTACTATTACAAATACCAGCAATAGAAAATATACACATAAAGATAATATGTTCGTTTTCTTCTATTTGTCTTATGGGCAAGAATTCTCATTTTGAAAGAAGGCTGTAACTGGAATTAAAATATGCAATATTAGATTAACTTGTAGTTAAAGAACATAAGGTGAGTATTGGGTTAGTTTTAATACAGACACCTAAGAGGATTCCCCATGTTTATTGGAAATAAACTCAGGTCTTAGAAATCTGGAGGAGATTGGTGATTTCTTAGAAAAGTCATGAATAGTCAAATTGAGGGATGATGTACAATACTTAACAATATCTAGAGTTTTGTCTATAATTACTAAAAGGATTGTGCCAATGTGGTTTTTCTAAATCTTTTTTAATTGCCAAGGTGATGCACAGAGGGGTTTCAGTGATATAAGTAAAGTAATGAGTACATTTTTTTTATTGTGAGAATACCGTCCAGAGGAGTTACAATTACATGGGCAAGATAATAAGTACATTTCTTATCAAGCATTGTTGCCTCCTCCTTGTTTCCCCTTCCCATCCCTTCCCATACTCTTCCCCTTCCCCCACCTGATCCTCCCCCCACCCCCACCAAAGTTGTAAAGTTCGTTTTTCGACATAACGACTTGTACATCTCATTGTTGCAATGGGTCCACCTGTATCCCTAGTTAAATATTTGTTTTTTTTCCTTTCCCCTCCACAAATTATACCAACATCATATACAGTGAAAGCATGGGTTATACCGTGGGGGAGGGACATATAAAGCAACAAAGAAATCATCTTATAAATATGTTAGAAACAATTGCATGAAAGGAAAAAAAAAATAATTGAATATTTATCTTGGGTTCATTCCCCTAACATCAACTTATCTGACCTTTTCTGCTTGACTCAGACATATACTAGTTATTGTAAATAAGGGAAACCATGGGACCTATGTTTCTTTGGGCCTGGCTTACTTCACTTAATATAATTTTTTCCAAGTCTTTCCATTTCCTAGCAAATGAGTACATTTCTTGTCAACCTTGTTACCCCCTCCCTCAATTTTATCCTACTTTCCCTTCTCCTCCACCCCCCAAGTTGTACAGATCATTTCCAACATATTATCTGTTGCATTGGTTCCCCTTGTCCTTTGTCTCATCAATGTGGTTTTGTAGTACAATGTAGAACAATCTTTTAAAAAGCTAAGTATTGATCCTATTTTTTAAAAATGGATATAGAGAGGATCACAGTTCAGGGCCAACCCTGAGAAGGGGGAAAAACACAGACCTCCATCTAAAGCAAAATGGGGGTTACGTTGTGGCTCAAACAGTATAGAACTGGCCTAGCCAGCCGGAAGCATTGGGTTCCAAACAAGTACCAACCAACCAACCAACAAAAAAGCCTCAGTAAGCACCAATATGTGCAAGAGCGGTTGGGTGAGTTACTCTGGAAATGGCCAATGGCTGAATTTCTTAATGATTCCTTCCAATATGAAGTATCGTCCATCCATGAATCAGCAAGGAGATGATTGACCCAAAGGAATGGCGAACGCTATGGAAATTTAGCTGATTACTCTGGAGATATGAGCATGGTTGTGAGAAAGTTTTGGAGGGACATAGAAAGGCAAAGCAAGCCTGCCATTGCAGGGGGGGTGAATGAGGGTGTGGACAGCAGAGGAGGAAATTTATTAAATGCACATCATCTGTAAGCGAAACAAGACTATTCATTTTCTGTATCAATATAGTCATATAGTAGTTGCTGAACAATGATATGGAAATAACAAGAATCTTTTTAAAAAATTTTCAGTCTTTCAAAGATTCTTCAGTGCTCATATGTAATAGTTGAAATGGGTCTTGGTACTTAATTCCTACCATGCTTAGGAACTTTACCTCTCTTCCTATTTCACTTCGAGAGGTTCAGCCTTCAATTCATGAAAGCCTTTGATAATCATTATTGGTTGATCCCTGGAAATAACCCTAGATATTAATGCAAACCTGTTGAGTACTACTGAATAATATTTTATTTATATTTTTCATCTACTGTGATAAATGAATTTGGCTGGTAATTTGACTTTTTGCATATCCTTATTTGGTTTGATCAATACTCCTCTGCTGTGTCAATCATATTGTAGGGTTTCTGTATTTTTTCCTTACAAGATATGTAATTTCTCAAATAAACCCACAATGATCGACTTTTAAAAGATTACACTGAAAACCACTTTGGCACAGTCCTTATTGTAATTATAGGTAAAATGCTCCAATATTTTATGTTAAGTTTCCTATATCATCCATCAATTCAACTGTTTGTTTTTCCAGGTAATCATCAATCTTCTCCAGATTTGTAAAACCTGTATTTATAGTACATTCTTCCAAACACAACTGGTTCTTTCAGGGAAAATTTTGCACTTCTAATGTCCCTTTCAGTCAATCTTGTGGCTGTTTTCACTACCACTTGGGACCCATCATCTTCCCTCTCCCCCAAAAGACTTTTGCTGCAAAAAAAGTGAGGACGCAGGTCAAAATGAGCTTGAAAAGTAGGTTACTAACACCAAATGTCTAAAATACATACCAAAAGACCATTATCTAGTTAAATATATGTACAAGCACATTACTAATTTCACATTGGTTATTATGAAGAGTGACAGGTTAATGAGGAGAATGAAACAACATGAATATTATTGCAATACTTTATTTGTAACTATGAAAACTGAACAATGAAACTTGTTGTAATTGTTATTGGAAGGGGAGAAGAAGGACAGGATAATGATGAAGGCAGTGAGAATGATTAGAATACATTGTAAATGGAAATGTAACAATGCAATCTTATCCTGTATAACTAATGTAAGCTAATAAAAAGCACAAAAAGGAAAACAGATAGAATAATATATTTTGATGACCACAATCAAATGTGCAGGTAAACTATACATTATTATTTTCACTATGGGAAAATCATTTTTCAAACATACTCAAATAGACTACAAGAGATTTAGCCAACTATTGTGTTTAAAGATACATATTCTCATTAATTTTCCTATTGGAATTCCAGATTCTAGATTCTCCTGTGATCAACTGCTTTGCCTTTACCCTAATTTGTTTTTAGAAGCTACCACAGTAGCACTGGAAAACATAATTAACTCCAAAGTGGTAATATTTTACTGAAAAAGAATAAAAATAAGCCTAGTGTACTTGAATTATGGGTTAGCCTGCCAAAGGGAAGGCTATGTCAGGATTTATAGGAGGGGATTAGGAAAATTAAATTAGTTTGAATACTGAGTAATTATTTTAGTGTAGGTTATGAGGTTTGGAATAGGATTTAAATTCAAAAGAATATAAGCGATTTAGAAATACCAGGGTAGAAACAGCCAGAAAGCATGCTTTAGGAACCCCCATTGTCAGTGGGAAAACCCAGAATATTTCAGTGAACCCAACCTTCACAGTAGCTGGACAGGGTAGAAATTGTCAGCATCTTGCAGGATGGGGTATCAGCAGAGCCTACTTACTTAGCATTTTCCAAAGAAACACTTGAGCAAGTATCTAGTCCTGGAGCTTTCTGCAAATCCCAGACAACCAGTAGGCAGACTGTGGAAGGGTCAGGATCCACTTGTCACGCCTGCTCCATTATCATAGCCTTCCAATGGATGATGGGCTAATTATCTTATGAGTGGACCTATGAGACAATACAGTTTGGCTAGGGCTCTTGTAGGCCTAGGGCTAGGCTCTTGCCTTTCACCCGTGACGCCCTGTGCCTCCTTGGAACTTTGCCATCAAGTATTCTCTCAGGAGGGCCTAACCTCATCTAACCCTAATCACCTCCAAGGGCCACACCTCTAAATTTATAGTTAGCTTATGTTTTTATCCATTTAACATCACATTTCAAGCCGAATTTTGGAGGTGACAAATCTTGGTTTGCTCTCATTTTAGCTGAGTTTAACTAATATTTACTGCAACACAGTTTTATGAATTCTTTAGACTCTTACATTATTTAAGTTTTCTTTTCATTTTACAATACCTGGTTAGCTGTCATCACTGAGTTAATATTCGCAGGAACAGACATTCTATGAATTCTTTAAGCTCTATACTTTGATACTTAC